TTAACCAAAAGAAGGCTGAGGGGAGATATGATTGCTCTCTTTAAATATATTAGAGGGATAAATACCAGGGAGGGAGAGGAATTATTTAAGCTTAATACCAATGTGGACACAAGAACAAATGGATATAAGCTGGCTAGTAGGAAGTTTAGACTTGAGATTAGACGAAGGTTTCTAACCATTAGAGGAGTGAGGTTCTGGAATGGCCTTCCAAGGGAAGTAGTGGGGGCAAAAGATCTATCTGGCTTCAAGATTAAACTAGATGGGTTTATGAAGGAGATGGTTTATGAAGGAGATGAGATAACATGATCTTGGTAGCTAATTGACCATTCATTATCAGTGGGAAATAGGTCAATGGAGGGATGATAGGAGTTACTATAGAGAACTTTCTGGGTGTCTGGCTGGTGAGTCTTGCCCACATGCTCAGGGTTTAGCTGATCGCCATATTTGGGGTCGGGAAGGAATTTTCCTCCAGGGTAGATTGGCAGAGGCCCTGGAGGTTTTTCACCTTCCTCTGTAGCATGGGGTACAGATCACAGCTGGAGGATTCTCTGCATCTTGGGGTCTTCAAAGTATTTGAAGGCTTCAATATCTGAGATATAGGTGAGAGGATTATTCTAGGAGTGGGTGGGCGAGATTCTGTGGCCTGCACTGTGCAGGGGGTCAGACTAGATGATCATAATGGTCCCTTCTGACCTTAAAGTATATGAGTCTATGAACTTTTTGTGCTGTCCACACTGCAGGAAGTCAAAGGGAGAAGACTCTTCTTTTGACTTCCCTTACTCCTCGTGGAAGCAGGACTACCGGCATCAACCAGAGTGCCCATCTCAGTTTGAATTAGCGTGTCTTCACTTGACTCGCTAATTTGAACCCTGGAAGATCAACAGCAGCAGCTTTGATCTTCTCTGTAGTGTAGATGAACCCTAATGTCTGGGCCTGTGCTCTTGACTTTTTCCCTTTGTGATTCTGATGAACAGACCTCTCTGTCCAGTCTGTTACTGACACGCTTGTTTCTTTTGTAGTACCAGATCCCCCTCTCCATCTTCAGCTGTCTCTAAAGGAAGAGGTGGAAGGCGTGGTGATCGGCCGCTGGGCTCCACCCGTGTCTGCCCATGGCCTGATCCGAGAGTACATCGTACGTATTATTCTGCAGTGTGCTCCTCAGTCAAAGCTGAATGGGAGCCGGGCATGAGGCTACGATTCCTTCCTCACTGCAAAGGACCTAAAGCTTAGGGCTTTGAGAATTCGATTCTTCTGAATGAAACTACCTGCAGCTGTTTGCTCATGGTGAAAGCCACCTGCTTGCCAGGCCTGTGCACCACTTTATGTTGCACAGAAACCTGTTTTGTGCACATGAGACTGAAGTGGCCAGAGGTATGAGTCGCCTCCAGTGCATGCATCCCATCTGCTGGAAGTTTCAGCTCTATTCAAGCCCTTAACATAGCTCATGAGCCCCTTTGCACAGAGGACCTGATTCAGCAAAGCACTTCCTCACATGTTCACTTATAAACCTATGCTTGAATCTCATGGAAATCAATGAGATTTAAACGTGCTACAATGTTTTCCTAAATTATTACTGTTAGTTATTATCTGTATTAATGTAGCCCTGTGGTCACCAACAGGTCGATCCTGATCGACAGGTCGATCGCGAGGCCTCGACCAGTCGATCGCGAGGCATCCTGTCTGCCCTGCACCCATTTCCCTCCCACCCCCGAGAAGCCCCACTACCTACCTCCAGTGAAAATGGAGGTAGTGTAGGCTTCCTGGGGATGGACAGAAGTCCTGCAGCTTAGCGCCACTTCCGGCGATTCCGGAAGTAGCGCTAGCTTCTCTGCTGGGTGTACTGCGGGAGGCAGCATCGGCTCCCTGCACCGCACGGGAGGGTGAGTCAGCCCCAGGGGAGGCGCACGCACGGGGTTTTCTTGCGCCGGAGGGTCGGCCCCCGGGCAAGCGCGCGCGGGGAGCTTCCCTGTGTGGGGTCAGCCCCGGGGCAGGCACGCACTGGTTTCCCTTTGGGGGCAGGGGAATCCTGGGAGGAAGCAGATAAAGGGGACTCTGCCTCCACTGGCACCCCACTCCCTAGCCCCCACTTCCCAGCCATAGAACTCTGTCCCCACTCTCCTAACTCTGTCCCCACTTCCCTCCCCACTCCCCGAACTCTGTCCCCACTCCCCGAACTCTGTCCACACTCTCCTGTTCCTAGCTACAGAACTCTGTCCCTATTCCTGTCCCCTCTGGCATCCTGTCCCCAGCTGCAGAACCCTGTTCTGTGCCCTCCCAGCACCCTCTTCCCTGCCCCCCGCCGCAGAACTCTGTCCCCACAAAATGTATAATTCTAAATGCTTCATTTTAGATTTAAATAGCATGAATAAAAACCAGATCATTTATTTCATAACTATAAACATGTGATTTTAATTGTATACATCACATAATTTAAAAATAAACTGTTTATCAGAGTGTGTAAGTAAGGGCTGGAGACAGCAAGTGATGGACAAGAGGAGAATAGAGAGGGCGGGGCTTCAAGGAAGGGGCGGGGCGGTAGATCTTCGCCTGTTTGGAGATTTAAAAAGTGATCTTGGGTGTAAAAAGGTTGGAGACCACTGCTGTAGCCCCTGAGAGCCATAGTCAGGGACGAAGCTCCTCTTGTGGTAGGCGCTGTACTAACACAGAACAGAAGGATAGTCCCTGCCCACAGAGCTTACAATTTAATGAACTGGAAATGAGAGTGAATTTCAGCTCAGATAATTCAGAGTCTGAGCATGTCCTTTGACAAAATTAGCTATTTTCTCAGTGAGGAGAGATTGAGCCCAAACAAGAGCAGAAGACACAGTCAGTTATTGCAAAAATCATGTAAATATTTTTCCAGGTCCATAAAAGTAATGAGGAAGATGAATAAGTGCCTCTACACATACTAATTTGAGAGGGGGAGACATGTTAGTCTGTCTGCAAAAACAGTGTGACACCTTAAAGGCTCAGGGCACGTCTACACAGCAGGGAAAAAGTCAAATTAAGCTACGCAACTTCCACTACGCAACTTCAGCTAGGTCAATTGCATAGCTGAAGTCGAAATAGTGTAATTAGGCTTTTGGCACTGAGGGTTATAGGAGTTGGAGTAAGAAGAGACATATGAAAAGAGAGAGATTGCCCCTAATTCTGTGGGGATGGATTCCTCTTTGCGTTAAAAAGAATTAAAAAGTTAAAAAAACTTGGTAACTTTAACATGTAGCTCTCTCCCCCTCTACCCATAATAAATCCAACTTTTATACTTGTCAGTGTTGGTAAGATGGAGCTTGTATTCGTTCTTTAATAAAAATTAAGTTTTTATTTGATGAATGTAGCTAATAGTCTTGCTGACCATTGATAAAGACCAAGGTGCACACGATATAGGAGAACAGAGGGGAATCTTCCATACATTTCTTTAAAAGTGGGTCTTTGCCCACGAAAGCTAATGCTCCAATAAATCTGTTAGTCTATAAGGTCTATAAGGTCATCACTTTTGCCGATTCAGACTAACACAGCTACCCCTCTGATATTTGGCATACGTTCTTGTGTGTCCCAGGCTCTCATTTGGGAAAAATGCAGCTATGGGCTTTATCTCTCAGTAGAAAGGGTTCCACATAGTAAAGGGTTCCTCATAGAAAGGGTTCTCTCTCCATCTCTGGATTGAGATTAGATGGGGAGGGGGTAGAATTGTTTGGTTTTGATTAGATGTGGACTGTGTCCCCTGTCTCCTCCCTCATCTGAGCATTCAGATTGGGGATTGGATTTCTGGCACCTGTTGGGTTTTAATGGTCCATGCCATGGTACTGTAAAGCTAACCATCCATCCAGCATCCTATGCTATGGTATTGTTGATTGTGACCCTTTTGTTTTCATTCTGTTAGGTGGAATACAGTAGAAATGGCTCCAAGGAATGGTCCTCACTTAGAGCCAGCAAGAACTATACCGAAATTGAGAACTTGCAGATCAACAAATTATACACACTAAGAGTGAGTATGTGAAAAGCCAGTGAGTCTAGGTGCATTCTCAGGTTCTTTTCTTTTACTGGGAGGCCTGAGCACTGCACAGCTAAATGACAGGCTAGTGCCCCAGGAACAAGTTGAGATAGCTAAAGCACATAGGAGGCCCGCATGTTTGCTGACTCCTTCATTGTGTGCTGACAAGAAAAGGCAAAACTAAAGGCTTACATTCTGTCCTGGGATTTCCACCACATCCAAGAAGCCCAGGTGTCAGTTTTAAAATTCATCCACAGATATCACAGTTCTGACGTCACTCCAGTTGCGTGTGATATAGAACAGAGACAACTTTGGCTATAGAAAGAAAGAAGAAAGGGAGAGGGCCTGATATCAGTCTTCAGACATGTTAAGGGCTGTTGTAAAGTGGACTGTGATCAATTGTCTCTGTCCACTGAAAGCAGGACAAGAAATAATGGGATTAATCTGCAGCAAGGGAGATTTAGGTTAGATAACAGAAAACATTTTGAACTAGAAATAGTTAATCCCTGGAACAAGATTCTAAGGGAGGTTGTGGAATCGCCATCAGCTGGAGATTTTTAAGAACAGGTTGGACATGCATTTTCCAGGGATGATCTAGGTTTAATTGGTCCTGCCTTCATGCAGGCAGCTGCACTTAGATGACATTGCAAGATCCCTTTTAGCCCTTTATTTCTTGAGGATGGGTCAGCAGAGATGCTAGGGAAGGCTTAAAGCTAAATTAAAATCAGATCGAAATTGAGTTTGAGAGGAAAACCTGTAACACAAACACTGCAATGAGTACAGCTTAATCTGCCAATTTTCCACGTAACTAAACTCTCATTGATAGCAATGGCCATTCAGATAGCAGGATTCAATCGTCATGAATCAACGTTATTCTTACTGTTGCTTGTGGAATCCCGTGTGTGCAAGAAGCAGATGCTTTTTCAGATATGTTCTATACCTTCTGTCTATAGGACATTTTCTAAATAAATCATTGGGGCCAAATTCTCTGCAGGCATGGGTTTCATAGGAGTTGTGTTAGGTTATACTGAGCAGAATTTTTCCAGCCATCCTTATTTTACATGCTTTTTGTAAAGATCTCGCCATATACTATTATCTGTGATGTATCTCAATAGATTACTTTAATTAACTCTAAGCAGGTCTGCTTTATCTCTGTTTATATTACCAAGTAATTTGTTTTGTTTCAAAGTCCATTTCTCATCAGCTCCATTCTACTAGTAACTCTTTTTAAGCTCATTCTTTGTTCTCATTATAAAATTGTAACTAACCTTCTCATTTGAAAAAGGTGGCTGCGGTAACTAGTCGGGGTGTAGGAAACTGGAGTGATTCCAAATCCATAACCACCATGAAAGGCAAAGGTAAACATTTTTATACATTTCAATTTAAAAGAAACTTAGACAAGACAGAAAAAAACCCTAGAACATAAGCATTAAGATGAATAGTAGTTTTCTGTCTTTTCCCTGGTGATTTAATATTTGTACTGAATTTACTGTACTGTGTATAAAAACCAAGACAATGCAAGATCTATAGCATTTATACCTTAAAAACAGTATTTCAAATTAAAAATCATAGCTATAGACAACAAAATTCCATACTCCTGTTACTAATAAAATATTTGAATAGTGATAGAGAGGTAGCTCTGTTAGTCTGATCTTGCTAAAACAAAAGGAAAAACCGTGTAGCACTTTAAATACTAACAAGATGGCTTAATAGGTGATGAGCTTTCATGGGCCAGACCCACTTCCTCAGATCATATTCTGGAAGAGAATTGGCATGACCATATATACCAAAGGAATACAATGAAAAAAAGTGAACACATTATTAAACTGACAAATCAGATTTAGTACAGAAGGTGAGCTGAGGGAGAAGGAGAAGGAGGGAGAGAATAGCTATTTATGAGTCAATGAAGGCTAATCAGGGGTGATAAGTAGGGAAGCTATCTTTGTAATGGTTAAGGTAATTATCATCTTTGTTAAGGCCCATTCGTAAAGTGTCAAATGTAAGCATGAATGAAAGTTCTGAAGTTTCCCTCTGTAATCTGGTGTTAAAGTCTCTTTGAAGTAAGATGCATGTAGTAAGGTCGTTAAGACTATGTCTAGGTAGATTGAAATGAAAAGCAACTGGTTTTTCCTTGTGAAGATGTCTGATTTGTGGGCTTTAATTCTTTGGCGAAGTGTCTAAGAAGTCTGTCCAATATACATAGCAGAAGGACACTGTTGGCACATGATGGCATAAATTATATTTCTGGATGAACAGGAATATGTGTTCTTGATCATATAACTGACATGGTTAGGTCCAGTGTTGGTGTCACCAGAGTAAATATGTGGACAAAGTTGGCAATGGGGTTTGTTGCAAGGGAAAGTTCCAGGGTTGGTATTAACGTGGTGTGTGGTTGTTGGTAAGAATCTTCCTGAGGTTAGGTGGTTGTCTATAGGAGACAGACCCATGTCTGTCCCCAGAGTCTCCCAGGGTATGTCTACACTACAAAGTTAGTTCGAACTAACGGACGTTAGTTCGAACTAACTTTAATAGGCGCTACGCTAGCGCTCCGCTAGTTCGAATTAAATTCGAACTAGCGGCGCGCTAGTGTAGCGCCTATTAAAGTTAGTTCGACCCAACGTCCGTTAGTTCGAACTAACTTTAATAGGCGCTACGCTAGCGCTCCGCTAGTTCGAATTAAATTCGAACTAGCGGCGCGCTAGTGTAGCGCCTATTAAAGTTAGTTCGACCCAACGTCCGTTAGTTCGAACTAACTTTAATAGGCGCTACGCTAGCGCTCCGCTAGTTCGAATTAAATTCGAACTAGCGGCGCGCTAGTGTAGCGCCTATTAAAGTTAGTTCGACCCAACGTCCGTTAGTTCGAACTAACTTTAATAGGCGCTACGCTAGCGCTCCGCTAGTTCGAATTAAATTCGAACTAGCGGCGCGCTAGTGTAGCGCCTATTAAAGTTAGTTCGACCCAACGTCCGTTAGTTCGAACTAACTTTAATAGGCGCTACGCTAGCGCTCCGCTAGTTCGAATTAAATTCGAACTAGCGGCGCGCTAGTGTAGCGCCTATTAAAGTTAGTTCGACCCAACGTCCGTTAGTTCGAACTAACTTTAATAGGCGCTACGCTAGCGCTCCGCTAGTTCGAATTAAATTCGAACTAGCGGCGCGCTAGTGTAGCGCCTATTAAAGTTAGTTCGACCCAACGTCCGTTAGTTCGAACTAACTTTAATAGGCGCTACGCTAGCGCTCCGCTAGTTCGAATTAAATTCGAACTAGCGGCGCGCTAGTGTAGCGCCTATTAAAGTTAGTTCGACCCAACGTCCGTTAGTTCGAACTAACTTTAATAGGCGCTACGCTAGCGCTCCGCTAGTTCGAATTAAATTCGAACTAGCGGCGCGCTAGTGTAGCGCCTATTAAAGTTAGTTCGACCCAACGTCCGTTAGTTCGAACTAACTTTAATAGGCGCTACGCTAGCGCTCCGCTAGTTCGAATTAAATTCGAACTAGCGGCGCGCTAGTGTAGCGCCTATTAAAGTTAGTTCGACCCAACGTCCGTTAGTTCGAACTAACTTTAATAGGCGCTACGCTAGCGCTCCGCTAGTTCGAATTAAATTCGAACTAGCGGCGCGCTAGTGTAGCGCCTATTAAAGTTAGTTCGACCCAACGTCCGTTAGTTCGAACTAACTTTAATAGGCGCTACGCTAGCGCTCCGCTAGTTCGAATTAAATTCGAACTAGCGGCGCGCTAGTGTAGCGCCTATTAAAGTTAGTTCGACCCAACGTCCGTTAGTTCGAACTAACTTTAATAGGCGCTACGCTAGCGCTCCGCTAGTTCGAATTAAATTCGAACTAGCGGCGCGCTAGTGTAGCGCCTATTAAAGTTAGTTCGACCCAACGTCCGTTAGTTCGAACTAACTTTAATAGGCGCTACGCTAGCGCTCCGCTAGTTCGAATTAAATTCGAACTAGCGGCGCGCTAGTGTAGCGCCTATTAAAGTTAGTTCGACCCAACGTCCGTTAGTTCGAACTAACTTTAATAGGCGCTACGCTAGCGCTCCGCTAGTTCGAATTAAATTCGAACTAGCGGCGCGCTAGTGTAGCGCCTATTAAAGTTAGTTCGACCCAACGTCCGTTAGTTCGAACTAACTTTAATAGGCGCTACGCTAGCGCTCCGCTAGTTCGAATTAAATTCGAACTAGCGGCGCGCTAGTGTAGCGCCTATTAAAGTTAGTTCGACCCAACGTCCGTTAGTTCGAACTAACTTTAATAGGCGCTACGCTAGCGCTCCGCTAGTTCGAATTAAATTCGAACTAGCGGCGCGCTAGTGTAGCGCCTATTAAAGTTAGTTCGACCCAACGTCCGTTAGTTCGAACTAACTTTGTAGTGTAGACATACCCTCAGAGTGTAGCATCCTGTTCCAGTATAGGTTGTAGGTTATTGATAATGCATTGGAGGGGTTTAAGTTGGCGGCTATAGGTGATGACAGGAGGTGTTCTACTGTTGGTTTTCTTGGGCCTATCTTGAAGTAGATGGTTTCTGGGTATTCGTCTGGCTCTTTCAATTTGTTTTTTTATTTCCCTTGGTGGGCAATTGAGATTTACAAATGCTTGGTAGAGATCTTGAAGTTTCTGGTCTCTGTCAGTGGGATTAGAGCAGATGCGGTTGTACCTAAGGACTTGACTATAGACGATTGTGTATGGTGTATCCTGGATGGAAGCTCGAGGCCCACGAAAGCTATTAAACCATCTTGTTAGTCTTTAAAGTGCTACATAGTTTTTCCTTTTAATAAAACCTTTGGTTATTCATACTGAAAGACTTTAAAATCTAGTTTGTTGAGATTAAGTTCTGTTGATTTTGTATTCTGTGTTTCAAGTAGCTTGGATTGTAAACGTAGACTAGTCAGTTTCATTCACATTTTCATGCTCTAGAACAGTGGTTCCCAAACTTTTCGGCATCACACCCCCTTTTTGATTTTTGAGAAACCCTCATGCCCGCCCCTCCCCCACCCCATAGCAGCAAAACTTATTGAGCAAAAAAAAAAAGGAATTGATGGCAGGAGGGGGCTGGGTTGCCTCGAGCCCCCCCTGGAATTTCGGCATGCCTCCCAGTTTGGGAACCGATGCACTAGAACAATGTTTCAATGCAGACCTTGCAGGGTCATGTTTAATTACAATAACAAAACCTTATTTCTGTTGCATTTTTAAAAATCATGCAATCATTTAACATATTAGATTTTAAATAACTATTTTAAAACAAACCTATATTTTCACTCCTAAATTGCTGACAGTGTCCTTTTTTAAAGTTCAGCATTAAATTGTTAGATCTAAGTGCTCTCTCCCCACTGTAACAAAGACAGGGAAGAGGAGTCTGTGCCACTGAAAATGCAGTATCCTTGGTAACACGAACTGCAACCAGTAAACTAATCAGTAGAACTAGTTGGGAAAATGGAGGAGGAATTAATTACAACAGTTTTCATCTGTGTTTTATTTTCATCTGAATTTGTCAACCAGCTCTGCTGTCTATAACCTCATTCTCCTGTGCTTACCCATTATTCTAAAGTACAGGCCCCATCATGTAATGTTGACTATAAAACAGGTCTTATCTTAATGCATTCGGAGGCAGATGTGTATCTTTCCTTCCACAACTGAGCCTTTTTGTAGCAGAGAGGACAGTTTGCCTCGCCACTGCTGCTGGGAGGGAAGGCTTATTTTACGACACCAAGCAGACACGATAGCAATCTAAACAGAAAAGATAGGGGCAGAAGGGAAGTAAGACAAGACTGCAACGAGGTGTTTTCCATGCATCCTGCTATTTATTACATTTTCCTTCAAGGAAAGTACCAAGTCAGTTGGGCCTCTTGGAAGCAATGTGTTACTGGAACAGGCTGAACCTCCCAAATCCAGAACTTGGTCTGACAACATTCATGGTCCAGCAAGGCCACGGATGTTGCTGGACCAAAGAGTCCCAGAGGTGGGAGCAACACGGGGGTTGGGGAGCCCTGGCTGGGCCAGGTGGCATCTGGGGAGCCCTCCCTGCTCTGGACAGAGAACCCCTGGCATTAGTGGGGCCTCCTGGCTGGGGAACCCCCAGCTGAAGTGGGGCTGGCGAAGGCGGGCAGCTGGAATTCCCAGCAGTGGTGGGATTGACCCAGTAGTGGGGCCTGGTGACTGACGAGGCTGGGGGACCCCCGGTGCAGCAGGGCCAGCAGCAGCTGGGGGTGGCCCCGGCCATTAACCCCGGCAAACACTTTGGGGCAGCAGGGTGGGGAGCACAGGCCGAAGCCCAGGAGCAGTGCAGCCAGCAGGGGAGCACTGACCTCCCTGGTCTGGAAACTCACTGGTCCAGGACAGCTCAGGTCCTGAGGGTGTCAGACCAGGGAGGTCCAACCTGTACTTGTATCTTTCTCAATACAGCTCTGATTCTGCTTCATTGAAGTCAGTGCAAACTTCAGGAGTTGCAAGAGCAAATAATTGCTTGTTTGAACTGAGAAGCAACACAAAACCTGCATGTGATCCATTCTGTCCTTCACCCTGTGGCTAGAAAGACAGGAAAGCATAGGCCTGCACTTTAGAATGGCGAGTGTGTAGGATCCCATGCATTTATGCAACCCGGGTTAAAACAGTAACTTTTTTTCAAGATATACCTTACAAGCTTCAACACACTACTCCATCAGGTTTCTGTAGGAGCAGGGATGGGAAAGATTCTAGCAACTTTTATAGATGGGGAAACAGTTGGAAAAACCTTCAGGGTAGTAATCAAAAGCTGCATTTATCCAGCTGCATAAAAATAGGATTGTGTTTTAAGTTTTCAATGTAGAATTCATGTCTATTTCTTCCTTTCCCTTTAGTCATTCCGCCGCCAACCATACATATTGAAAGTTGCAACGAAAACTCCATAAGTTTCACCCTAAAAGTTGACACTGATATTAAGGTAATGTCAGAACTTCCTGGCTAGAACCAGAACAGAGCTAGATGAAAGTTATAAATATTTGGCAGGATAAACATTTGTTATATAACATGGCTACAACAACACTGTGAACATAAAAGAGAACAACAATCTTAATCTTGTTCAGACAAATTACTTGTCCGCAAGATAAGCAAATCATGTGGCTTGAAAGCAAATATATGGCCAACCCCAAAGATTTGGGATTTTGTTGAAAGAATTATTTAATTGTTAATTTGTAAGTACTTTGCCTCAGTCTGGTATTTACTATGTAATGAGAGGGTTCCAGATCCAATATAAAAGGCAGAGGATGCTGGCAGGACTATATCTGCCTTGTAATTTAGAAAATTAATGACACTTCCTTATGCTGTGGGCTAACATCATTCCATCTCATGTGGAAAGGTAAGTCTACGTGAGATGGATGTTTCCTAGGGTATGTCTACACTACCACCCTAGTTCGAACTAGGAGAAGCCCGGGATTTGAATTTCCCGGGCTTCATTTGCATAAAGCTGGGCGCCGCCATTTTTAAATGTCCGCTAGTGCGGACTCTGTGCCGCGCGGCTACATGCGGCACGGACTAGGTAGTTCGGACTAGGCTTCCTAGTCCAAACTACCGTTACTCGAGGAGTAACGAGGAGTAACGGTAGTTTGGACTAGGAAGCCTAGTCCGAACTACCTAGTCCGTGCCGCATGTAGCCGCGCGGCACAGAGTCCGCACTAGCGGACATTTAAAAATGGCGGCGCCCAGCTTTATGCAAATGAAGCCCGGGAAATTCAAATCCCGGGCTTCTTTTGCAACTCCGGTTGCCTACATTACCACCCTAGTTCGAACTAGGTTGGTAGTGTAGATATACCCCTAGAGAGTTTCAAAAGGAAGACTGAGAAGTGGGCCTTTTTTTGTCCCGAATAGTCAGTTTTCACTCAGATTACAACAAAGTTACCTGTACTTACTGTATGTACTATAAATTGTTTGATAGATATTTGTCTGTGTTGCAATTCTATGTAAGAACTAGCCAGTAAAGCAATAACAAAGAATAGCTTCCCCATGCCTTTGCCATTAAAAATCTGAGGGAAACAGATTTCCTATCCTACTAGAGAGATTTTTTGCGGGGAAGGGAGAATTGTCCCATTTCGAAATGGGGGAAAAAAGTAAAAATCTCAAAAAAAGTAGGAACTGATAATATGAAAAACACATTTCAGATGGAGACAATCAAAATATTTCATACGCTGGATTTAAAAAAGTTTTATTTCAATTCTCAAAGGGGGTAACCAGGTGAGTCTATATCTGCAGAATTCCTCATGGTTTTTATTTCAGTATTAAGTTTTTATTTTAGCTTCTTAGAACTAAACTAAAATTTTTTAAACAAAAACTGTTTGGAATAAAAAGGTGAAAAATTTCATTTCAGAAAGTTTTGTTGTTTTTTAATTTGGGAGATTCGATGACACAGACGCCTTCTTGCAAACAGTTTCAATTTCAACAAATCAACATTTTCTGACTAAAACTCCTGACCAGCTCTATTAAAAATACCCAGACTTTTTTCTTCAACCTGGTTTCTCTCATGTCCCCATCCCATTACAGTGCCTCTGTCCCTTAGGGAGGAGAGATGGGGAATGGATTGAAACACCCAGGGTGCATCTACACAGCACCCTTACCTCGAAATAAGCTATGCAATTTGTGCTACACAGATTGTGTAGCTTATTTCAATGTTATTTCAAAATGGCTTATTTCAAAATCTGGTGCTGTCTACACAGTGCCAAATTTTGAAATAAGGTGCTATTCTGAAATGTCCCTTATCCATCGTGCAATGAGGTTTACAGGGACGTCAGATTAGTGAGCCCATTATATTTCAATATAACGGGCTTGCTCTGAAGATGCAGAATAGCTATTTCAAATAGCCCTAGAGATAGTGCCTTGGGGAGGGTAAATAAGCTCCTTCTTTGACTGTACCAATTCCCTCAGTTGTTACAGGAAATACCACCCAAAGGCTTAAAACAGCATAGCAAACGGCTCATCCATTCTGTGCGGTGTTTGTCCTTGACAGGTGACTGGTTATATTGTGAACATCTTCTGGACGTTTGATACCCATAGGCAGGAAAAAAGGACTTTGTTCCTAGATGGAGAAAAGTCAGCACAAAGAGGTAAAACTTGTAGCTGGAGCCCACTTGTCTGGGACATCCCAATAAGCCGGTACTGGTAGTTCAGGCTTTTTCTGCAACTATTGCTCAACTGAATAGTCCATAGTTTAGGAAGATTACTCATGTGAGTATGAATTATTCTGGTGAGCAAATGATTTCAGGGCTGAGCTACAAATCCTTGACACTTGTGAAAACCCCCAGTAACTTGGGATTCTCGTGATCATGAAGTCCCCAGACTCTGGGTGACAGTGGCACATGTAATCCCTGCCCCTTTCCTTTCACAGGATTCTGGGGGGTGGAGGAGGGTTTGTCGTGAACCTGCATCCTCATTCTTCCTCCATGCACTGCCAGAACAGGAACCTGCACCCATGGATGTGCAGAGTTCTGCCTCTGCTGCTCCCTGTTCTCCCCCACAATATGCACCTGAATCACTTTGGGAAGGAGGAAGGCTTATATATGAAGTGGAAAGACAAGAAGAAAAATCTACTGAAAATGCCAAAGAAAGATCCAGATTTTCAGACCCTGGCTCCTTTTGTGGCTAGACATAGGGAGCAAAGCAGGTGCAATTTTGCATCTCATGAGTACGTGCAGATTTATTTTATCCAATTTAGATGTCTTCAAGACCAGATTGGCTAGATCAGGTTGACCACTTCACTCTGGTATTAAGACTGCAGCTTAGAAATTGATACCTTCTCAGATTCGGGTCATAGCACCACTGAGGCTAATCAGACGTGGCCCTGATAATCGGTTAAGGTGAAATCTTTGCCATTTACTGTCAGGATCCACTGTTTCAATTAAGTGGCATTCCCAGGTGTGACTGTATTAAAAATTACTCCTAGTGAATGCAAGTAAAAAAACCCAACTAGCCTAATGACTATGTATTAGTGCTTAATGCTTATTAAATATTTATCTACTGTCGGAGTGATTACAAATAATTTGCTTAGTCCAGTGGCTCAACTCTCTCTTCTTGTTTAGTGGGTAATCTGACGGCACACACGCCATACGAAATTTCTGCTTGGGCCAAGACTGCACTGGGTGACAGCCCTTTGTCTTTTGCACATGTTGTGACCAGCGGTACAAGACCCCCGTCGCCAAGCCTCAAAGCCAAAGCCATCAATCAGACTGCTGTGGAGTGTACCTGGACTGGACCAAGGAATGTTGTAAGGCTTCCTTCCCTTCTTACCAGTCACAACTTGTCCTCATTTTAGCCTTAGAATCTCAGGCCATAAGCCATTCAGACAGAATATTTGATGGGTTTGTGTGGACATCCAGTCCTGCCCCGTACGAAAAACATGGTGAACTTTGCACCTTTATAGTGATTCGCACCACAGACTCTGCAAAACACATCTGAAAATTCATGCACATCACATCATGTATCCACTCTCTTTGGTTCATATATTTGTACCCAACACAATAGGAGCCAGGCCTTGATATTATCTTGATACAAGCAAAATAAAAAATAAACTGTGATAATCCAGTGCCATTTACTGTAGCTTAGGCCCCCTGAATGAGAGAAGTCCTGGCTTTGAGTAGGTTTTCTGGTCTTGAGTAGGATTAGTGAAAGTGGATGAGACCTTTGCGAAGGCATATGGCCATCTTTGGTAGATACCTGAAGCAAAACAGATCAAAGCAGTTAAAGACAGGGAGTGAAGAAGGCAGCTTGCAGCTAGGGAATTGAGGCAGACTGTGGATGCCCATGGTAATTTGGACACCTGTAATATACATTTGACTCCTCTGATGTATGAAAGGTTCCATATGATCTTTCATGACACCAGTTGGTCTGGACCAAAGTTTTAAGTCTCCTCCAAAGGACAGGATCCCGTCCACCTCAAACTACAACATAATGCTGTGACCTCAGGTGGTTATAGATGATGAAGACTAGGACTTTAACAGGGTTCAAAAAAGAGCTAGATAGATTCATGGTCCATCAATGGTTATTAGCCAAGATGGGTAGGAGTGGTGTCCCTAGCCTCTGTTTTTCTGGAAATGGGTGACAAGAAAGGGATCACATGAGGATTCCCTGTTGTGTTCACTCTCTGGGGCATCTGGCATTGGTCTGCTGTTGGCAAACAGGACCCTGGGCTGATGGACCGTTGGCCGTTCTTATGTTCTTATTCAAAGGGAGGGAGGTTGGACCTCCTGCTGCATTTCCAGAACCTCTTTTGTCCTAGGCAGTAATGCATGACCCTAGATTTAAACAGATAGTTTGGGTCATTTGGTAGCTTATATCCCGTACAGCCACAGAGCAGCGGAATAGCTTCTTTTTTGTTCTACTTTGCAGGTCTATGGTGTTTTCTATGCTACGTCGTTCCTAGAACTATATAGAAGCCCTCAGAACACCAGTACGACTTTACACAACATCACTGTGATCGTGAACAAGGACGAGCAATACTTGTTTCTGGTAGGATGGTTTTCTATTTATTCTTTGCACACCTACAGCTTGGGCTAATATGTGGTACTGATGCCTTAAGACTTGCTATTAACCAGCATGTTGTCACTTCAAGGTCCGAGTAATGTCTCCGTACCAAGGACCACCTTCCGACTACATTGTGGTGAAGATGATACCAGACAACAGGCTTCCTCCTCGGCACCTGCATTCAGTGCTCACCAGAAAGACATTTGCTGTCATCAAGTGGGAGTCGCCCTATGATTCGCCTGACCAGGATATGGTAATATTTTTGCGCACGTGACATGCCAGTGGAAAATGTTACTCAACTCAGTAACAGATCCATTTGGGAGAGATCCGCTCTAATGATAAGATCAAGTGCTCTATGAATGGAGAGCAGTCCGCATTTTAGTGGTTCAGATTCTATTCTTATTTGCTTTGGGATAACTCAGACCTAACACCACTGAAGTCAATGTAGAATTCAACTTTCAAGTCTAGTAAAGACCTGCTAAATTGAACTCAGAGGGCACCCCCAGTGGGCAGCCAGTACTCCTGTTCCTGTGAGGAGTAAGGGAGCCAATAGGAGTGTTTGCTCCTGTTGGCCTCTCGCTTTGGGGATGGTGGGGAAACTTGAATCATGGTAAGTCAACTCCCGCTACATAATGAACATAGCTGGAGTTGTGTATCTTTATTCAACCTTCCCCTTTAGTGTAGACCTGGCCTCAGTGATTTTGGGTGACTTCACCCAACTGTAAAATGAGAATAATGATGCCAACCTCCTTTATAAAGTTCTTTGAGATGATACTGATCTGCTCCTGAAAAGTGTGATAAAAATCAGATAATACTATTGTAGCTATAATAATACAGGAGCTATGAATCCTCCCTGTAAAACTGGAATGTCAATTTGAATGTAAAAATAGCAAAAGATTGTATTTTACATTGAAATACAACACAGTGCAAACTTTTCTTTCCCATCTTATTCCCAGCTGCTAGATTTAGTTTGTCAGTAAATAGCGTTCGGATGTTGGGCCATCTGCTGATAATGTGCTGTAAGAAGTTGGAAAGCCCACTTGGCTTCACAGGTTTCCAGCATATAGAAAATGTTGTTAAATGTGGTTCAAATGTGGTCTTGTGTGCTAACTACCATTTTGTATCACCAGCCACTGAATGGGAAGTAGGAGCGTCTGTTGTTCACTCTGTGTCCTTTTCTTCCCTGCAGCTATACGTTGTCGCAGTGAAAGATTTAATTAAAAAAACAGATAAAATCTACAAGGTGAAAACTCGGAACAGCACAGTAGAATACACCATTAAAAAGCTGGAGCCAGGAGGAAAATATCATATACTTGTTCAACTGGGAAATATGAGCAAAGAATCCAGTATGAAAATTACCACAGGTAAGGAAAGAAGATTACCTTTGGATGTTGTGGGAGGTTAGTGCATAGTTGTCCAGTAGGAGAATTTAACACTTTTCACTAAAACATACAAACAGCCACACTGGGTCAGACCAAAGGTCCATCTAGCCCAGCATCTTGTCTTCTGATATTGGTGAATGCCAAGTGCCCCAGAGAGAATCATGTGACCTATCCCCTGTTGCCCATTCCCAGCATCTGGCAGAAGTTAGGGACGCCATCTGTGCTCAGCCTTGCTAATAGCCATTGATAGACTTGTCCTCCGTGAACTTACCCGCAGGTTGAACCTCTCTAGTCCAGCATGCTCTGGTCTGGCAGCATCCGTGGACAGGAACACCAAGGACAGGGTAGGCCCTCTGCTCAGTGAGGAGGAAGAAACAATAACAGGAAGTTTGGAAATGGCAGAGGTGCTTAATGACTTCTTTGTTTCAGTCTTCAACAAGAAGTTTGATGGTGAAGAGATGCCTAACATAGTGAATGCTAGTGGAAATGGGATAGATTTAGAAGGTAACATAAAAAAGGAACAAGTTAAAAATTACTTAGAAAAGTTAGATGTCTGCAAGTCACCAAGGCCTGATGAAATGCATCCTAGAACACTCAAGAAGCCGATCGAGATGATATCTGAGCCTTTAGCTATCATCTTTGAAAAGTTATGGAAATCGGGAGAGATTCCAGAAGACTGGAAAAAGGCAAATCTAGTGTCCATCTATAAAAAGGAACCCAGGAAACTACAGATCAGTCAGTTTAACTTCTGTGCCAGGAAAGATAATGGAGCAGGTAATTAAGGAATTCATCTGCAAACATCTAGAAGAAAATAAGGTGATAGGGAACAGCCAGCATGGATTTGTAAAGAACAAATCATGTTAAACCAATCTGATAGCTTTCTTTGATAGGATAACAAGTCTTGTGGATAAGGGAGAAGCAGTGGACATGGTATACCTTGACTTTAGTAAGGCATTTGATATGGTCTCGCATGACCTCCTTATCAATAAATGAGATAAATACAACTTAGATGGGGCTGCTATAAGGTGGGTGCATAACTGGCTCGATAACTGTTCTCAGACAGAGACAAACACCTACAGGATCTTTATAGCGCATCCCTAAAACTGAAATACCCACTTGGAGAAGTGAAAAAACAGATCGGCAGAGCCAAAAAAGTACCCAGACATGAACTACTTCAAGACAGACCCAAAAGAGAAAATAACAGAATTCCACTTGTTATTACCTACATTCCACAACCCAAACCCCTCCAACACATTATATACAACGTGCAACCCATCTTGGAAAATGATCCCTCACTCTCAGAGGCCTTGTGGGAAAAGCCTATTCTCACTTACAGACAACCCCCCAACCTGAAAGAAATTCTTTCCGGTAGCCATGCTTCACAACCACATCATAAGCATCCAGGAACCCAGCCCTGCAGCAGCTGCAGTGCCAACTCTGCCCACACATCTATAAAAGCAAATTCATTATTAGAGCCAACAACATAAGCTACCAAATCAGCGGATCATTCAACTGCACATCTTCCACAACCCAAACCCCTCCAACACATTATATACAACGTGCAACCCATCTTGGAAAATGATCCCTCACTCTCAGAGGCCTTGTGGGAAAAGCCTATTCTCACTTACAGACAACCCCCCAACCTGAAAGAAATTCTTTCCGGTAGCCATGCTTCACAACCACATCATAAGCATCCAGGAACCCAGCCCTGCAGCAGCTGCAGTGCCAACTCTGCCCACACATCTATAAAAGCAAATTCATTATTAGAGCCAACAACATAAGCTACCAAATCAGCGGATCATTCAACTGCACATCCAGTAATTTGATCTATGTTATAACGGATGGCTGGGACATTATTAACCTAACATTCAATGAATATGCCAACAGCCCTTTGTCTGTGTAGATTCTTGCATTAGGACTCTTCCTATCTAATTGCTATCGGATGATCTTTATCTGCTTCTTTTAACTATCCAATCTTTAGGTGCTTATAGGTTACCAGTTCTGCCTACTTGTTTCTCTCTTTGATATTTTCATACCCTCTGCTCCTTGTTTCCCGCCCCCTCCTTTTTTCCCTCCTCCCTCTTCCTTCTCCCCTATTTATTTTGGGTCTTCACATCCTAAACTCAAAACTCCGGTCATCTGAAGAAGTGAGCTGTGCTCATGATACCAACTACATGTTTTGTATACAAGTGCTACCAGACCATTTTTGTTTTTTAAGTTTATCCTGTACAGACTAACTCGGCTACCCTCTGACGCTTCTGGACAGGCAAGGCACTGCGTTCAGCTGTATGGAGTGGAAATCCATCAACTTCACAAAGAAACTCGCACAGATCCAAACTGACATCATCTTCCTTTCCAAGTGCAAACAGATGGACATCATACCTAAGGGCAAAAAACCCAGTACAATCTACATATCCACTTAGGAAGGAACAATCAGTTTCACACATACAGAATGGGAGGTGACTGTCTAGGAAGGAGTACTGTAGGAATGGATCTAGGGGTCATAGTGGACCTCAAGCTAAATATGAGTCAACAGTGTGACTCTGTTGCAAAAAAAAGCAAACATGATTCTGGGAAGTGTTGTGAGCAAACACTTAACAAAAGTGTTGTAAGCAAGATTCGAGAAGTCATTATTCAGCTCTACTCTGCAATGATTAGGCCTCAGTTGGAGTATTGTGTCCAGTTCTGGGCACCACATTTCAAGAAAGATGTAGAGAAATTGGAGAAGATCCAGAGAAGAGCAACAAAAATTACTTAAGGTCTAGAAAACGTGAGCTATAAGGCAAGGCTGAAGGAATTGGACTTCTTTAGTTTGGAAAAGAGAAGACTGAGGGCACATCTAGACTACCCTCGGCTTCTGAAAGAACATATGCAAAA